TGGGGCTGATTTGTTCTATAGATGAAGGTTAGTAGTACCCTCCGCTTCCACCCATATTGAGGCACTCTTACAACATTTCCATGATTCACCAGGGGGAGGACATTCCGGGGTTATGAGAACCTACAAGAGGCTCCACCAGCATTTCTATTGGGCTGGAATGTGACACAGTTCTGGAGGTGTTCAGTCTGTCGACGCTACAAATATGACACTCAAACACTAGTTGGGCTTTTACAACCATTGCCCATTCCAACCCAAGTGTAGGATGACATTAATTTAGACTTTGTTATTGGGCTGCTAGTCTCAGCAGGAAAGTCTGTCATCTTAGTGGTTATGGACAAACCCTCTAAATACAGCCACTTCATTGCATTACCCCACCCATATACAATGGCTGAGGTGGCTTGGGTTTTTGTCCAAGCAGTGGCTTGACTCCATGGGACCCCACAGTCCATACTTTCAGATCGGGATGCAACTTTCATGAGTAAATTCTGGGCCGAATTCTTCAGGGTCCAAGGCACATCTCTTAAACATTCAACCAATTACCACCCTTTCCAATGGGTCAAATGGTTACCTTTGATCAAGTATTGATATAATACCCACATTTCACATCTCTATGGGAATGAGCCCCTTCAAGGAGTTATATGGAAGGGATACTCCCTCATTGCTGCCATATGAGAGGGGATCCATCCTTAATGAGGTTGAAGAACAGCTAATAAACCAGGAAGAGATCATTCATCCCTCAAGGCCCATTTGCACCAGACTCAGCAATTGATGAAGGCAAGATATGATGAGAAGCACCAGCTGGTCGAGTTCAAGGTTGGAGAATCTGTTTACCTCAAGCTTCAGCCTTACAGGCAGACACTTGTGGCCCGGAGAGACTAAAAAATGGTGGCCCCTCAATTCTAATGGTCCTTATACAATCCTCAAGCACATTGGCGCGATTGCATACAGATTGGACCTACCAATCACTATCCGGTTGCACCCTGTGTTTCACATTAGTTTGCTAAAGCAGAATCTGAACCCAGCTATTCCTATCAGTCCACTCTTGCCTGAGTTCAACGACGAAGGAGAGCTCTGGGCTGAACCTAAAGAGGTAATTGGCTGGCGATGGGTCAAGGTCGGTAAACACTTCACTAAGCAAATTAAGGTAACCTGGACTCATCTACGCAGAGAAGAAGCCACCTGGGAGGATTACTCCACTCTGAAGCAATAATTTCCTAATCTCAACCTTGAGAACAAGGTTGGTTCCAAGGAGGGGGAGCTAATAGGATCCCAAGCCCACCAGCCCAGGCCCACCCATCAAGTTCTTATACATCAGAAAGACATGTCACCTACACCAGCCTTGAGCTCATGCTCTCTATGTGAATAAGAGGTAAAAGAAGTAATTTTTTTTGTAATAAATAAAAATAAAACTTTTATTAAAAAAGAGCGGGAGAGAGACAGAGCAAAGAGAATACACAAGCAGGTGACAAGATATCACCCCCCAAATAACAGCCAAGGCCCACTGAAACACAACCCCTCAACCCTAGAATTTAATTACAGAATAGAAGGACCCAAACCCTTTAAATAGACCAGAAAAGCAAAGCAAGACCCTGAACCTAGATAAGACCCAAAACCTTTAATAGGCCCTGCCCCAAAATAGCCCTTAAACTAATATAGTCCTCAGGAACCTTCCACAGATCTTTCTTCACTCACCGAATACCTTTCCTCCATTTCCTTGAACAGCCTCTTTGTCATCCCCCCCCCAACACCACCAGACCTAAAGCCTTGTTCACTTGAACTGCATTTTCCATTACCTTGTCCATATCTGTACCTTTCTAACTCTGTCCATCTTCCTCTAAGACCTCCTCCTTTTTCCCAGTTAACTTCTCTTCGTCTATGTTTTTGTTTTTTTTTTGATGAATTCTCTTCGTCTATGTTATTTTCCCCCAAACCAACTTCCTTTCACCTTTCTTTGTATGGGTCTTTCTAAATTGTCTATATGGGGTCGTCACACAACCACGTTTTCAACCTCAGTCTTTGCCTTGTCATGGGTGCTACTTCTGGCACTATTCTTTTGTTTAGTCTTCACAATCTTTCTCTTATATGTTCTCTTGAATTTACTACAAGGGCCATCCCCAAAAATTCCTTCCTTCAGCCAATGGAACACTTTCTTAACCCAACCTCAAAACTCAAGGATCTGAAGTTTCTTTCTAACAAGCTTTTCTCTTTTTCTTCCTAAATCCACTCCTAATTTTCCAATAATAACATGTGTGATAGTGGGGTGATCTGGTGAAAATCCTTGTCCTAGTGAACACTTTCCCTCTTTTGCCATCTTTAGTTCACTGGCAGCAGAAGTCACAAGTTCACAACTAAATCTTTCAAGATAGAATTCGTTTTTACCTTATTCATTAGAGTAAAGCTCTCCTGGTTTTCCTCCCTAAAGTTGTTTACAAGTTCCTGCCCTAATTGCTTCTCTTGCTCTGTCTTGTTGTTCTGTGTATCCAACTGCAGCTCTCCTATAGTATCTCTTGCTGAATCGCAACAGCTCACCTCAGTCAAAAAGCCAAGAGCTGGATTTTTGTTCAAGGGCTCCAAAGAATCTAAATCACAGTCCTCCTTAGCCTGCCCCTGGTTCTCCATTGGGAGAGAATCCTCCTCGGCAATACCCAAGCTACTCAAATCACCACACCTAGTGAAAGCCACCTTCATTCCTTTAAGCTTTGAAGAGAGGGACTTTTTGAAATCTACAGACCTCCTTTTCAGCGTCAAAGACAACCTTTTTTCTCTTTCCACTCAAGGTTCTGCTTAAGAGTCTTCTCCACTGCGGGCTTGCTCTCGCAGAAAGAATAAAAGAAGATGAAGGGAGACCCGAATAAAGGTCCATCAACCTGCACACACACCTCCCTCTCACGTGTTTACTGTTTATTTAAAGTACCAAGTGGCTCGGTCACCTTTTTGGCCTTATCAAGCCTACCAACAAGTGGCCCACCTCTTGATTCATTCAGTCCATCTCATTATCTAGGACAAGCAAGACCAATTTCAATATTACCAACTCAGCAGCTCAATGCCCACTGACCCAATGGAGCTCACTCAAGTTAAGGCTTCCCTTACCGGTTCAATAGAACCTGGCTCAACAGTACTAGACGCCTAGACCGGGGGTGGCTCCAACTCTAAACTAGGCATTAAATGCTCCATCTCAACAGACAAACGTGACTTGGGTTGGGCTCTTCGCCTACCTTGTAGCTGAGAGTCTGTGAACAAACATGCAACCTCTGCAACCCTTTCTAAGGCTCTCCCTCCCTCTTTTTCACCGCCTGGTCCAATCTTCTCCTTTGAAGGAAACTTCTCAGAAATTCTAAAAAGGTCCAGTTCTGCTTTGCCACGTAGCCAGTCGTCTTCAATCTCTCAATCTTCCGTTCTTCTAGCCTTCTTCCAAAGGTTTGCTTCAATGGAAGTTGCAAGCCATACTAAATAAAAGTGATTATTAGTCTGGATTTCCACCAACCTATCTATGTCTTCTGGCTTCACACCATTGAAAAAGTATAGCTGCTAAATGTAGATCGAATGTAAAGACTCCCACTAGTTTCCCTCCACAAATTGAGGAGATGGATGAGAAAACATCTTGTTTCCAAAGATGGAAAGGAAGTCCGGCAATTCTAACAGTGACTTGCACCATCTTCAATACACAGAGGCTTTGCATTGGATAGGGGGGACCAACTCGAAATCAAAATACTACCATAAGACGACCGTAGATTTACAGATCCCATATCCAACTCTTCTTCAGCCAAACCAATGAGAGCTTTACGATTTTCAAAAGGTGTGAAGATCATTGTTCCCTTTAGTTTTAACCCTCTACTTACCAACTCTGCAATCTTCCTCTAGTCTGGAACCCCTTGCTCTACTTTGGCTACCAGCATCTTAGACAGGTCTTTTTTCCTTCTTGGACCCTCGAAGAAGGTAAGGTAATTTTTGAAAAAGGTAAGGTAAAATTGGCATATCGAATAATTTCTTGTCCATCAGTTGGTATGTTGAATAATTTACACATGGCAGTTGTACCCATCGTAGTGGCTGACATGGCAGAATTCAGCAGCCACATGTCATGTCAGATTAACCATGTGGGCATTTGCGTTGATCACATGCAATGTTTTGGAACCCGACCCAAAGGCTTTAGGCAATGGAGAATCCATAAGATAATGGGAACTCCACTAGAGCTGAGGTGACTAGAGGTTATAAGAGTATCAAGAAGTGACTAGAGGTGGTCAGTGGTTGTATGCTAGAGCCAGCAAAGGTCACTCGGGAACTTAAGCACATACCAAGTCTAAAGGAATAAAGATCATTGGCAGCCAGAATGATTTGCTTTTTTGTGCAGATGGATTCCTAGATCTCCAAACTCTTTAGCATATCATATAGCAAAGATATAGTTGGAAAGAGTTATGCCTTCTAGGCCAATCTTTTTGTGGTTATTGTTGTTCATCCAATTTGGGTTTTCTCCTCCTCTGGTGCACCGTTTACCTCCATTTAACAAAGAAGATTATATATTTTTTCCTTCAACTGTTCTTTTATTTCATGCCAACGGGAAAAGAACTAATCTTTCTGTTGTGCAGATGTCTTGTACTTTAAGGATATAATATAAACACTTAGTGAGAACAGGTTCCCCAAGGCCAAAACAAAGGTAAAATTTGACATACACCTTTCACACAGAGGTACTTTTGTGATCTTATTTAACACCTACATTGAAATTGAAGTGCATTTTGCAGGGGTTCATCTGTGGGCATAGACAACCCTTGTCAAACGACATTAAGTCTTCTTGTGTGTGCACAAGCATGTGTGTTTTCTTGCATTATGATTTACTCTGGTTTTGATTTTACACTTTCACGCTGCATATCCAATAAAAGCAAAAAGAAGTTGTCAAATGCAGAGGCCCATTATAACAAAAAGAAAAGCATGTTCCTGCTAAAAGATTATCTAGAGGCACTTGAAATTTTATACTTCCTGAATTAGTAGAGGGGTTAACCACATACCATTAGTGTGACTCACTCCAAGAGCAAGAAGCACTTCCAAGTTTGTTGGATCTACCTCCTGTGCACGCATCATCGATGCAATAGCCTGCAGCAAGAGGAATTTTACTCATCACAAAAGGGGAATGTATAAGTAACAGTTCAAACAATCATAATAATAAGATCTTGAAAAGATTGAGCTAGTACATCAAATAGTCATTCGCCAATGTTAAAACTATAAGAATGCTGACATTGAAAATAGGGGTGAAACTAGGTTACCGAATTTGACAATTTTCCACTGCATTTGGGCCAAGGACGCCAGGCCCTTACAAAATTTAACAAAGGTACAAATCAAGCCCACCCAAGTTGCATCCCAAATTGAAATAAAATCTTTATGCAATAGTGTAACCATACTAGAGAAAAAGGAGGGAGGGGAACAAAGTATCTTACAAGGCTGAGATAAAAGTAGGAGCAGAATAACATTATAGTAGGCTAAGTGAGGTTACAAATCCAAAAAGCTGTTACAGTGATACAGGTGCTGTTCTAAATATAGCTTAAGGTCTGGAAAATAGCATAACCTGTTGATCATCATCATTTTCTGCATGTGCTATTCCAAGTAACCTCCAACCTTCTGCATTATCAGGGTTCTTTAAAACTTCAGCCTCTAATGCAAGAACAGCTTCACTCAAGAGGCCCTTACGAAACAGCTCCTGCCCTTCTTTCAATGGATTGGGATGGCCAACGTAAGGGTTCATATCAGAAAATACATACACCCCCCTGGAATTATCTGACCGTTGTTTGGTAGCTATTTGTTCATTCAGGTACCTATTGTTCCAAGTCAAATTAGTAAAACACAGGCAAAAAATAAAGGTCAAAGACAAAACTAGAAATATCACCACACAACACTCAATTCCAGGGATAAAAAAACAATGTCAATACTACCATGTGAAACATAAAAGGCTATATTTTTGAAATCCATATTCCTAAACTTTCCTCTTTTACTCTCAGTTTTCAAGGCAGCTACCAAGTTAGTAAAGAGAATTAAAAAGGTCATCAGGGACTTCCAAAATTCCCTATTAATTTGTTTTTTGTTACTAGTATCACAAATTCATTAAACTGTTCAGCGACCTTTTTTCCCTTCTTATTGTGTGATTCAGGATTTGGCCTTGGGGAAGACGATTGGTAGAGGATGTATGATGGGTGGACTCTACATGCTGGAGAATAAAGGTTGGTCTTGCAACCACAGAATCTAAGAGTTAGTCAAGTAAGAGTCAGGTCTATTTATGGCACAATCATCTTGGCCATTTATCTTTTGAGTCCTTAAAAATTGTGTTTCTAGAGTTCTTTAAGTCAATGTCAGTGTCAGAGTTTATATGTCAAACTTGTCAATTAAGCATTGTAGAACTCATTTTTCTTCAAGGAATAATAAACCTGAATTTCCTTTCCATTCTGATGTTTGGGGCCCTATTACTTTACCATCTGAGAGTGGCTACAAGTATTTTATTACTTTTATTGATGATTATTCCAGATACACATGGGTGTATCCCATGCAACCTAGGGATGAAGTACCAAAAATTATCCAAGATTTCCAACGAATGATCTTCACCCAATTTCAAACTGAAACCCAAGTCTTCCAATCTGATAATGCCAAAGAGTACTTTTATAATGACCTCACGAAGTTCATTGCTTTGTGTGGATCACTCCACCATAGCTTATGTGCCCGAACACCCCAACAAAATGGTGTTGCTGAAAGAAAGAACCACCATCTTCTTGAAGTGGCTCGGGGGTTACTAATTCATATGAATGTCCCAAAAAGTTTTTGGCTTGAGGCTATCCTTTGTGTTGCTTATCTCATTAATCGCATGCCCTCTCGATGGTTAGAGTGCAAAGCCCCACATCAGCTCATATTTCCCAAGGCTCCCTTTTTTTCTATTCCTCCATGTGTATTTGGTTGTCACTGTTTTGATCAAAACCTGTCACCCACCCATGGAAAATTAAATCCGCGTGCTATTCCTTGTATCTTCTTGGGGTACCCCACAACTCAGAACAGGTACAGGTGCTTTGGTCCCGTCTCTCGAAAATACTATATTTATATGGATCTCTTTCTTTGAGAGTGAGCCTTTCTTTCCAGTTTCTCCTCAGGGGGAGTATAGGAATGAGGAAAAACAGGTTCAGCTCCCTCCTCTTCATGATCCTCCTCCCTCCCATGTTTCCTTTCATCGTCACAAAGGCCAACCGAGTTCAAGAGTTGTGGAGCATCTAGAAGTTGTACCACCAATGCCATCAAATTCTCCAGGGGGTGCATCCTACCCAACTAGGTACCTTGATTCCCATTGATGTTTTTGACCCTACTGCTATTGATACCTCCATTGCTAATGACCTTGACCTTCCTATTGCTCATCGGAAGGGTATTCGGTCTTGCACTACTAAACATCCCATTTCCCATTTTGTTTCCTATGAGAACATTTCACCTTCCTTTCTGGCCTTCCTTTCTTCCATTGACAAGGTTCCTATTCCTAAGAATGTGGCAAAAGTTATGTTGGTACATGAATGGACAGATGCAATGAAGGAAGAAATTAATGCATTGCATAAAAATGGCACATAGAAATTGGTGGATCTTCCTAAGGGGAAGGTACCATTTGGATGTAAATGGGTTTTTACAATAAAACATAGGGTTGATGGCATAATGGAGCGGTATAAAGCTCATTTAGTGGCAAAAGGGTTTACACAAGTGTATGGAGTGGATTATGTAGAAATTTTTGCATCGGTTGCTAAGATGAACTCCATTAGAGTCCTTTTCTCTTTAGTCACTATCCTTGATTGGGACCATCATCAACTAGATATCAAGAATGTATTTCTAAATGGTGATCTTGAAGAGGAAGTTTACATGGTACAACCCCCTGGTTTCCAGGCTCAAGGTCATGAACAAAAAGTGTGCAGGTTGAAGAAGTCACTATATGGCCTGAAACAATCACCAAGAGCCTGGTTCAGCAGGCTTCATGTTGTTCAACAAAGAGGCTACAAGTAGTGTCAATCTGATCACACATTGTTTGTGAAAAGAGGAGAAAGAAAAATTGCAGCCTTGATAGTGTATGCTGTCATGTTGATGATATAGTTATTAATAGTGATTGAAAAGATGAAATTCAAAAGTTGAAGGGATTTCTTGCTACTCATTTTAAGGTAAAAGATCTAGGTCCTTTTAAGGTACTTTCTTGGAATTGAAGTTGCCCGCTCACAAAAGGGTATCTTCATTTCCTAGAGAAAGTATGTCTTAGATTTGTTACAGGATACAGGAATATTGGAAGTGAAACCTGTTGATTCTCCTATTGATCCTAATCACAAATTAGGTGATTGTCAAGGTGAATTCATCAAGGATGTGAAGCAATTTCAGAGGCTTGTAGGAAGATTGCTATATCTATCTATGACTTGGCCAGACATTGCTTATGTAGTGGGTGTTCTTGGTCAATTCATGCATGCCCCTAAGACCACCCACCTTAAAGTAGGCTAAGTGGCTGAAAGAATTCTCAAATATCTCAAGAAATTCTAGGAGCAGGTTTATTGTTCCAAAAGCATGAGCATTTGAAGGCTGAAGGGTATATCGATATAGATTGGGCAAGATCACTAAGTGATAGGAAGTCTACCAACAGCTAATGTACCTTTGTGGGAGGGAACCTAGTCACGTGGAGAAGCAAAAAGCAGAATGTGGTGACTAGGTCTAGTACTGAAGCTGAATATAGGGAAATGTCTCATGGACTGGCTGAAATTATGTGGCTAAAAAATTTGTTGAGTGAGCCAGGATTTACAGTTGATGGACCTATGACTTTATACTGTTATAACAAAACAACCATAAACATTGTTGCTAACTCAGTGCTACATGATAAAACCAAGCACATTGAGATAGATAAACATTTTATCAGAGAAAAAGTTGTCAAAGGGGAAGTGTAGACCAAAATGCAGACATCTTCACAAAAGGGATACATCACTTGTGGCATAATGATTTATGTGACAAGTTGGGCATGATTGACATCTATGTCCCAACTTGAGGAGGAGTGTTAAAAGGTTGTTAGTATATTTAGTTTAGTACCGCAGGGGTACTAAATTTTCTCTTTTTTTATATGTTTATTTATGTTTTCCCTAATATAAATAGTTAAATACTAAAGCTGGCACCACCAGCTTTGATTTTTGTCTCTCAAATCTCTCCTCTCTTCTCTCTTCTCTTCTCCTCTTCTGGACAATAGGTTGCACCTTCGGACTATTCCTCTTGTACTTCTACACTTGGCTCCATAGTGAATCCAAGGTCCCACGTACAGACACCCTGATCTTGTGCCTAATCTGATCGTAAATCTTGCTCTTTTCAAGCCACAAGGGAAGCTTTCTCACCAACAGAATTAGAAACACCAAGCCTTAACTCCTTTCGACTTTGAAGAATCAGTGCTTGAGGGATCTCCAAAAAGAAGTTCTATACCCAAAGTTTTGTCCTCCAACAACTTACAGGCTTTTGTGGAATCGATACTTCCAATACTCAACAGCTGTTCCACTTCTACATCCTTCTCCTCATGTGGGTCCTCCCAATCACTATCAATGTTTGAAACTTCCCTTACCGTCCTGTAGAACTTTCGATTTGTTTGTCAGGGTCATGGCATTCTCCCCCACCACAGGCTTCCGAACCAATTTGAATCTGGCAGGATTACAACAAAGAGATTTGCAGCATTTCTTTGAATTAGCCTTCTTAGAACCCTATAACTTCAGTAAAAAGTCCACCCAAGGGTGAAGCTGATGAGAATGTTTCCAGTATCAGCCCCTTTCTTGGCATGGAATAGCCTTTACTTGGCAATTTGGAAAAACTAAGCACACAGTATATCTACCCCTGATTTGGTTTTTGATACTAACCATCTAACCATGCATGTGATCCTACTCTTGTCTTGCCTGCAGGTGAGACCAGTTCCCAGCAAATTGCCGCCAGTCCTAAATCGTTGGAGAACACGTGTTGGGAAAAATGGATAAGGTGGGGATGAACCAAAGAGTAAGAGGATTTGGAGACTAGTGTTAGATTCGTTAAGTGGCCTAATGGAGGCAAAGATGCAGAATAGATCAACTGAGGACTTGGAGGGAAACATCACAAACTAGGGCAGGGTAAGGACAGACAGAGAAAATCTTGATGAGGAGTGTAAAGGAAAAGAAACTCAGTAAGAGGAGTGGCAAAGAAAAGACTTTTAACAAAGGGGGTGCACAACAAAAAGAAACAAAAGTAAAGGGGAAGCAGGAAAGATTGGGAGGAAGAGGAGTGGAGTAGAAAGACTTAGGAGTGATATTGAGCATGATAAGGGTGGCAGTGTAAGAAAGGAAAAAAAGAGGCAAAAGTGAGTGAGGTGAAATAATTACTCTCAAAAAGGCTTTCACGTGAAGATACTTAGCTGGAATGTAGGAGGATTGGGGTGAGAAAGAAAAGGAAGGGTAATAAGGGTTGTGCTTAGAAAGGAAAATCCATGGTTATGATACAAGAAATGAAACTGTCCAAAGTGGATAGAAGATGGCTAAGAAGTATTTAGTAACAAGAGGAATAAGTTGGGCTTTTACACAATCTTGGGAGCATCAGGTGGTATCCTAACTTTGTAGAAAAATGAAGAAATGGAATACTTGGAGGAGCTGAATGGAAAATTTTTAGTGTCAACCAAACTGAAAAGGAGAGAGATGGGTTACAGTGGGAGGAACTAGCAGCCATTAGAGGTCTCAAGGAAGGTGTCTAGGTTATTTTTCTCTT